CACGAAAACAATCTGTTTTATGTAGGTGTTGACATATCTGTCCCTGCGATTTCGGCCTCCAACATTTCTTTCTTGTTTTGCTTGTCTGTGTGAACTGACCCGTTTTAATGTCCGCCTCAGAGTCTGCCTAATCCATGTACTGTCTAAAAATAAAAGTAGATATTCAAATAAAGACAAGGAGCGTGGCCATCGAAAGGCCATCGAAACATCCAGCGGTAGTGGAGTCACTACCATAGTGACTCACTAAATGTGCATTCCCACAGCAGTCAGTACAACAGTAATGCCATGTTTCTGTTTCTATCACAGTATTGTTTTCATTCACTTGTTCACTCCAAACTCTTGTACTGCCAATGAAATGCAAGACTTCCTGCAGATGTTTCAAACTAAAAGCGTACGAGGAATAGGAGGGCGTTTGCCTTTTGAGTTGCTGAAAGCTGGAAGTATTGAGTTTCATTAATTGAAGCTTAAAGGGATGGTTCAGATTTTTTTTGAAGTGGGGTTGTATGGGGCACTTATCCATAAACAGTATATTATATACACACGTGGACCAAAATTGTAGGTACCCATCCGTTTGTTTCTTTTTATTAGGATCCCCATTAGCACCAGCAATAGCATCAGCTATTCTTCCTGGGGTCCAAGAAAGAATGGTCACTGAAATAACTTGAAACTGACAAAAGTGATAATAAATAATATTTTACTGAAAATTAACCAATAGAAATCAGACATTGCTTTAGAATTGTGGTCCAAAAGAATAATTTTAAAAATCAAACTAATGAAACTGTCAATGAAATTGTCAGAAAGCTTGTTCTCAGTCGCAGGTCATGGGTCCTCCGACAGGATAATAACCCAAAGCACACAGCTAAAAGCTTCCGAAGTGGCCTTCTATGAGCCCTGATCTAAATCCTGTTGAACATCTGTGGAAGGAGCTGAAACATGGAGTCTGGGGAAGGCACCCTGAGACAGCTGGAGTGGGCCGAAATACCTGCCGACAGGTGCAGAAGTCTTATTGAGAGTTAGATAAATCCCTTGGTTGCAGTGATTGCCTCAAAAGGTTGTCCATTTTTGTCCAGGCCTGTTTCATTAGTTTGTTTTTTCAAATTATTGTGGGTTTTTCTTTCTTTAACAGAAGGTACCAACAATTTTGTCCACGTGTGTACAGTAGATGTCAGTGCACGGCTCCAGTTTGGAGAAGCAGACTGGAGTCTGACACGGGAGCTTAGCAATGAACTGCAGTGGATGGGGCCAGCAACAAAATGTGTTTTAGTCACCTGAAACAAGTCCCACTTAAAAAAAAATCAATCAAAAAATCAGGGACTTTTTTGAGGTGGCTAAAATGCATTTTGTTGCTGACCCTCCACAACAGATTGCTCAGCTTTCATGTCGGACTCCAGCCTGCTTCTCCAAACGTCTACTGTATGTAATTTAATGTCTATGGATAAGTACTCCATACAACCCCACTTCAAAAAATCAGAACTATTCCTTTAACTAAATCTTTTAAATCTGCAAAATGTGAGCTATTGGAAACAATTAGTGATGTATGACGTGACTGCTGATTAAAAAAATGCTGTGGAAATGCACATTTTACCGAATCTATCAAGAAACCTGAGACTGCATCGACAGAAAATAGCAAATGAATGCCTTAAACATGGTTAAATGTACTCATAAAGGAGATGAAAGTCCAAATAAAGACCAGATTTTCTCTGCAGCAAAGGTTCCAGACACTATTTGAGATGGTACAGTTATTCTTTTATCTACATCATAACGCAGCCATGCTTCAGGTTGCGTTAATGTAATCATCATGTAACTGGATCTAAATCCAGCAGAAGGAACTTTTAATGTAAAATGCTGATTGTGATGTGAGCAGATGGAAGTTATGAAACACAAAGGAGAAGCTTGCATGTATACATCCAGTGATGTGGTGGAAGTGAGATCATGATCTTTTGTATCACATATGTAAATGTGAGCTACAGTATAAGTCAGGCTTTTGTTTGTTGTCGTGTCACAGATTGATCCTAAGTGTGAACACTGCAAAATTCATCATGTCTCTAATTTGATTCCTTTTTTCTTCTTGAACACACCATTTGCTTTTATTGACAAACCCGCCGATCAGGGAAACTCAGTTTGCTTTGCCTGGGGGCCACTTTTGAAAGATGACAGGTGGCCAGGGGTCAGTCACCAAAGGTCACAGGTCAGGTGTACACAGGGGCCTCTCTAGGATTTGAGGACATTGGGGCTTAGCCCTGACCTCTGTTTTTAAAAAACAAGCACCCTGTCACAGGCCAGATTTGACCCACGGGCCACTAGTTGAGTATCACTGCCACAGATCATTAGCCTTTAGCATCTAGCAGCTACAGAGCCAGATGTTTTCCTCAGGATTTGGTGAAGACCTGATCCAAACTAGTAGACGTTCCTATCTCAGCAGTGACACCTATATCAAGTTAAATGTTTCCACTGCCCCCTAGTGATCAAAAAAATAATGAATGTAGCTTTAAAACAAGTGAAACATAAAACAAGCAAACTTTTTGTTGGAAACAAGTTGACACATCTTTACCACACTGACATATTTGTTCCTGTTTGTTTTAAGAAAATGAGTTTACGGAATCAATCATAGACAGAAATGAGTTTTTGCAGTCTGTGTATTTTTGTATTACCCGGCTTTGACGCTCTTTGTGCTTGCCGTAGCAGAGCAGCAGCCACGAGTCGCCCATGAGTCATCAGTTTATTGGAGGAGCACATTAAGTATCATAAAATCCAAACTTGTTATGATGCTAAAAAAAGAGCTGTGCCCCTGTGAGCTGTAAATACTTAAGTACAATGTGTATAATGCCTGCTGACTTTTGCTTTAGGCTTGATGCTGCAGTGCACTTTGAGCTTTTTAGAATCAACATTTTGAAGTGTATTTTGGGAGATTTTTGTCATGTCTCTGTTTTAAAATGATAGACTCAATCCAGGTATGTTATATCTGATGATGAGACCAATGTTAATTTTGTGAGTGGATTTAAAGTGTGTGTGTACATGTTTTCACTAAAGTGTTGTACAGTTTGTCTGTGTTCTGTCATTGCTTACTTTATAATTACTCGTGAGTTGAGGATGGAGGTTTCAAACCACTGGGGTTGGACCAGTGTGAGAATTTTTAACACTGGTTTAATATTATACCAAACACCAGACCGAATTTATACCAAATTTAAGTCCCACTTGACTCGGCAGCTGCTTCTGAGTGGAACAAAATGATACTGTGTCCCAACAGAAACTAGCTTCTGAGCTCTCTGTCCACATTTATCCATTAAATATGCACTTGTCATACTTCATGTAAACAAACCTCGCAGCTATCAGCTGTGCCCTCGAGATCGGATTTCCTGTTAAAGTATGTTAGAGGAGTGTCTAAAAGGAAGACAATGAATTTGCTAACCTAAGTTCCACAGCTCTGGGGTTCTAACGGAAAATGCCTGGTTTCCTTTTGTAACGCTTTGGGCTATGGGAACAGTTAGGAGGGTCCTACCTGAAGAGTGCTTGGCTCATAGAATGTGATTAAATCTATAATGTATGCAGGAACAAGGCCATGTTGGACTTAAGAGTAATTAGTAAAAGTTTAAGATCAATTCTATACCTAACAGGTGGCCAGTGTAGCGTTGCAAGGATGGTCTTGATGTGGTCTTGTCTATTGGAATTAATTAAAAGTCTGGCAGTCGAGTTCTGATTGTGCTGGAAACAAGAAATGGGCTTTTAACTGAGCCCTGAATATAGGAAATAACAATCCAGACAAGACGAGATGAAAGCATGGATGACTTTATCAAGGTCTGCTTGAGATAAAAAATGCAATGTTTCTAATCCGAGGAAAAGACGATTGCATGACCTTGGTTATTTGTATGTTGAAACAGAGCTCAAAGTTAAAGATGACACCCAAATTATGGGCAAAATGCTTTACATTGGAGGACAGCTTCCCAAGGTTCTTTTTTAAGTCAAAGGTTTGAGGGGCCCAAGAAAAAGAACCTCAGATTTGGATTCATTGAGCCAGAGGAAGTTTTGTGACATCCAACACTTAATATCCAAGAGAAAACCCTTAACATGAGTCACTGGAACATAAAGTTGAGTGTCGTCTGCATAACTATGCAAATTAATATTATAATTACGGATTATTTCACTCATAGGAAACATATTAATAGAAAACAGAAGAGGACCAAGAATTGACCCCTGGGGAACACCACAAGAGAGGGGGGGCTTGGGATGAGGAGTATCCTCCCAACAACACAGTAAGATCTTTTGGAGGGATAGGAGCGAAACCAAGCAAGAGCACTGTCCTTAATTCTAACGTAGTTTTTAAGGTGGTATATAAGGATGCTACAGTCTAATGGCATCCTTATAATGAATAAATAAGAAGGTATTGTCTGACAGCAACACAGTGAGTTAGGACACCTCTTTCTTTTGCTTCAAATCCAAAATGTTGTCATATTGGCGCAGTTTTAGTTTTCTTGAGTCTCTTCTTATCTCCTCAAAAAACACATGAACTTTGAAGTAAACAAACAGCGTGCACTGCTCTCTGACCTCCCACCTCTACTGAAAAGTGATCTCCTTCATGTTGCCGACACTGACCTGGGCCCAGCAGTAAATTGCACTCAGCCTGTGAGACACTGATGGCTCCATTGTCCATTAGTTTATGACATTATATTATATCAGATTGTTATATTGTTTATTACCAATGCAATATAAGTTGGATTTAGCGCTGTGACAAAGTCAGCACAGGTTGCTTAGAGGCTACTTTTTAAGTTGCCAGAACTTGTCATAATGCCGCAGTGCACAAAAGCACACCGGTTTAAGCTCGTACACCGGACCAGAAGCTCCTCAGTGATCTGGCTGATATGCGCTGTGTAATTGTTTCCTTATTAGTCTAACAACAACACCTCTGTGGAATGATTACTGGACCACTGAGGAGTGGAGGGATGGGAGGGCATGCTGTGAAGGTCGACATTGTTGCATAACACGTGGCAAAGCTCACTATCTACTAGTTGAATGATCAGTTGAAGCAACAGATGAGTAAACACACACACAGAGGGACTCTGCTCCACTCTTTACTCCGAATGCAGAATGGGATGTGACTTCATCGTTGGATAGTAATTCATCTGTCCAGGAGCAGCTGGCACAAAGATGTGATTGTCCCGTGGGTCAGCTTGACTCTTCCTAGAAGTCTCCGTGAGAGGCTCTTTGTGTTAAGGTGAAGCAGGTCTCCTTTGTGGATACATTAACTGGATTTGCAGAGCAATTGATATATCAAAAATGTCAGGTAGGTGACATCATTTCATATAAATGATCTACATTTGAGAATGTATCCGATCAAACTTTGAGCAGTAAAAGCTGTGTCAGTTAGCTAGTTCTCTACACGGGTTAAGTAAGTTTAAATAGATTAAAGACAAGCCTTGCAACTTTGGGAAGAACTTGGGAACAGAATTGTAATTCTCTCAGGTCTTCCTCGAGTAGTTAACTTGCACGGAGCACACTGAAGTGACCCAGTTTGACTCGAAATAAACTGTGCTCCTGCACTCTCTGCCCAAACACTGTGCCAATTGAAATTGAACACCACACGCAGCCCAGAGATGGCTGTGGACAAAGGTTACAAGCCTCTGCATCTGACCACAGGGCACAGGCCAAGAAAATGAAACTCTGACACGCCTGTCAGGTCTACACACTTCATATTCCACACGAAACTAGTTTCACCCTTATGGTAAAACCCTAATGGTAACAGAAGAACCATTAGTGGCCTTTTGTGTGAAAATGTCATTACATAAAGAGGGTTGCAGTGGGAGGGGGATTTTTTAAAGAGCAAAATTGGTTCGTAAATGTAGTTCAAGACACTTGGTTTCATGTTAACACATTAAGGTTTGGACAAATGTGGGCTTTTGAGCACTACTTTTATTATTAAGAGGTTTGTTTTCTTCTTTTGTGGGAATGGCCACAGAAGTACCATGCAGCAAAGACTGAACTGCATCTTTTCTGCACGGGCCAGGACACAGACTCAAATGCATTAGAATTAAGTCAGATAGCCTGAATTCTGAATTGTGTCCCATTCCACCTCATTAAGACTAAAGCAGTGTCGCTATGGTCACTGATGAAGGTGATAACTCACACTGGCATGCTCATCATCACGTCTACAATGGTTAAACAACTGGTGTTGCATGAAAGCTCTGATACAACAAACCAATTGTTGCCAAACTGGAAGGGGGCCGGGCCCCTGTGGTGGAGTGCAGCACCATTCAAGGTTTAATGGACTAAAGGTGTAACCGACAACTTTCATCACTGCACTGCTAAAAATAAATATTGGTGCCATCATTATTGTTGTAAGTTCTACTCATGGTTTGATATGAAAAAATGAGCTGTACAACATGGTAGTGATGGCCACATGATGCTTCATGAACCACCAGTTGTATTTGCCGAACCCACTAAATGGCACTCAAAGACTCAAGGGATGGCAATGCAGTTTGGTTTCAACCCTTTGTTGAACAAAGAGTGCCAGAGTGGACCCAAAAAATAAAGACAATGGTTCATGAAGCTTCATTTGGCCATTGCTAGTTGAAACCATGCTGTCCACCCGAACAAATATGTTATATACATGTTCTTTCAAAAGAAAAACTGCTGTTTGGGGAAAAAAAATCTTGACAGATGTCGTCATAATTCACACATGAAAAGGCTATAGACATTTCCTAGCAACCTATTTACACAATCCTGAAGTCTTCATTAGCTAAGGCATTTCTTTTTCCTGATATCAGACAGAATTGTGAGCTCACTCCATTTCCGTTTCAAGGTCTAGAACCAGGCAAACACTTCCCAAGTTTTAATGGTCCATCATCCAGTCAGTCAGAGCTGAGATAGACAGTGATATCAGTGTAGCTTATCGGTCTAATCCTGTCATGTGACCATTCTCCAGCTGGTGAGGCCTTCGTCACCCTGGCCACCACGGACTCATACTGCATGGGAGCTACAGTGGTGGCCAGAAGTTTGCGGTCTCACGGGACAACGCGCAGCATTGTCATTATGGTCACCCCCAACGTCTCCGAACAGTCAAGGTGGGTGATCGTTTTCTTTTCTTCAACATGTCCCCTGAGTGCTGTCTGTGTCTGTGCCCTTAACTATTTCCATCTTTACATTTCACCAGGCTTGCCCTGAAGTATGTGTTTGATGAGGTCATCACAGTGGATGTGATGGACAGTGAGGACCGTCTCCACCTGGTCTTGCTGGGACGTCCTGAGCTCGGCATTACCTTCACCAAGATTCACTGCTGGACTCTGACCCAGTACAGCAAATGTGTCTTCCTGGATGCGGACACGCTCGTGAGTCTTCTGAACATACAGATACTGCTGCCCTATGTTAGTGTGACTTCTTAAAAGCACAAGGTACTGTTGGGATTTGAATCCAGGATCTCCTGTTTACCAGACATTTTAAGTTAAAATGATTGCTTTCCCAAAGGCTTTAGACCTACAGCACAAGGGCGCATTGCTGTTTTACATCACACTTGATAAACATATCACACTACTTAAACTATCCAGCTTTTGGGCACCCAGCAGTTTCGTGGGTAGAGCATGCGTCCCATATATGAAGGCTATGTCCTTATCACAGCAGCCTGCCCAGCCTGCAGCCCTTTGCTGCATGCCATCCCCTCTCTCTTGCTCCCCCTTTCATGTTTATGCTGCGTTCGTTTTGTACTCGGAGGTCGGAAGTCGGAAGTGGGAATGACGTCACCTCCGAGTTGACAACAGTTTTTGCATTCTAGTTGACAACGGTGGACAAATCGGAAAAAAACATGGATGCCCGCAAGAAAGCCTTTGTTGCCCTCACACTTTCGGAATATAGACAGCTTCAAAACCATCATGCACTCCAACTGATGAATGCCGCAGATGAGGCTGACCTAATGTAAAACAAATAAGATAGAATTGCTATAAACAGTACTTTAGCAGAGTGTTTACTCACTATGTATGTGACCGGCAGCCATCTTGAATTCGTAAGTTGGGGTTGATGCGGTTCCTCTGAGTTTCTGAGTTGGAAATCCAATCTCAGAGTGTGTTCGAGTTTAAACTTGCGACTGGGAACTGGGAATTTCCAGCCTCCGAGTACAAAACGAACGCACCATTAAACTGTCCTATCCAATAAAGGCAAAAAGCCAAGAAAATAATCTTACAACAAACCTACACAGCTACTTCTGAACACTGTGGGCTCATCCAGAATTTGGACCTCGAACACCCAAAGCAAGAATCATACTCCTAGACCAACGTGCCACAGGAAGAATACTTCACCATCCCAAGAAAACGTTAATTTGCTTGGGGGACGGGCCGTGCAATCGGATGGCTGTGCTGGAACACCTCCACTGGCCACCCACTGGCTCCACCATAGCTGTTAACTCAATGGAGTTAGCTAGTGATGTCCAAATGAAGCTTCATGAACCACCAGTTGTATTTGCTGAACCCACTAGATGGCACTCTTGGTGTAATGACAAAGGCTTAAAGGATGGCAGTGCAGTTTGGCTTCAACTAGCAATGGCCAAATGAAGCTTCATTTTCTTTATTTTTTGGGTCCACTCTGGCACTCTTTGCTCAACAAAAGGTTGAAACCAAACTGCACTGCCATCCCTTGAGCTTTTTTCATTACACCAATTCAGCAAATACAACTGGTGGTTCATGAAGCTTCATTTGGACATCACTAGAGTTAGCCAACACTGACTACTAACTACATGTTATAACTCTGTGTGTAGGCGCCTTATAGAAAGGGCCACTAAAAGTCTCACTCCAGATGGACAATAACAGAGTAACCAGGAAGGTTTCATGTTTCTAACAAACAGGAACAAAGTGAGAGCCACAATAATACACATACGCTGTTTACCTTCAAGACAGATTAGTCCTTCATTTAATCATTGAGTGCATATGACACATTTCAAACCATAGCTTTGATCCCACTTCAAAGGAATAGACTCTGTTTAAATAAAGCCAGAGCAGGTATTGCACAAACCGCTCGACAGCACGTGGACATGCTGGCTCACTGAGCCAACTGTACGTCACTATCTGTCACATCTATCAGTTAACATACTGTTAGTCTCTTTTTGCTGTGAACTGTGGGCCAATGAAGTCAATCATATTCCTACTGAAACTGATAACCTCCGTGGATGTTCGCAGACATGCTACAGTATGTTGTTCTTCCTCTGCTTAGTCAGTGTAAAAATGCTCATATGCTCGCAGGAGTGTGTTTGAAGGCTGAGCTCAGTAAACAGATATGAACAGTCTCAAGGTCATAGCTGCACTGACCTACATATAGCTACTCGTGCACACACGTGGTGCCAAAGCTAGTCTTGGGCAACTCAGTGTCACTACTAATAATTCTTAGTGAACAGTACTGTGATGTTTCCTGTGGTGTTTCCCCATATCCATAGACTTTTCCCCTCTCTTTCTTTCTTTCTTCCTTTCCTTTGATACTGTTATCCTCCATCAACCACTGACTTTCATCCAGGAGGCCAGTGTTTGTGATTGTAAAGCCGATCCCTGTTCTTTTTTCCTAAACCCAACCATGTATGTGTGTTAGCAAAATGTAACCAGGTGCGTTTGTTGTTGAAGGAAACAAACTAGTTTGCAGTGTGGTACTGACGTAGTGCTTTTATTCTGAAAGAGACTGTATACAAACGGTATACAGTTGAGAAAACAGACAATGTATGTAACGGTCTGAAGTTGATACAGCATCCTAGAACGTCAACAACCAACACACCTAGGGTACCTTTCACGTCATATCTCGATGCGGAAAGTCCATGACCAAACATCGATACGTGTGTTGTACTGCCATGTTTCTACAGTCGCCCAGAACGGACAAACCAAACATTGGCACAAGATAAGGTCTTTCACGTTTTGATGTTGGCCACTGAAGTTAGAAGGCCCTCTGCGTCGTTCAGTGTTGGAAAAACCACCAATTCTTTAACACGAAACCACCAGGTCAGTTTGTTTTGGAGAGGTAGAGACCTCTGTGCATAATTCGGCTACTGGTAAAATCCGACAGATTAGCAGGTGCTGGGCGAGCAGCCTATCTCCAGTGTGCTAAACAGCACCCCATATACCCTTGCCTCACAGTTGTGTCTTGTGCCACAGTCTCTTTCTTGGCAGTTGCATCTAAAATGCCTCTAACATGCATCGCTTGCTCTAACCCATATAGAGTTTCTGCTTCCAGTGAATGTGTTTGACCTCTGATAGACTTTTCCTTCTCAGGTTCTGAGTAACGTGGACGATCTGTTTGAGAGAGCCGAGCTGTCGGCAGCTCCCGATCCCGGCTGGCCCGACTGCTTCAACTCTGGCGTGTTTGTCTTCACACCGTCGCTCCACACCCACAGAAGCCTCCTGGATCACGCCCTGCAGCACGGCAGCTTTGACGGTAACACATGACTACATGTCTGGGTTCAGACCAGCAAGCAGTCGATACATGGATTTAATCAAGTCAAATGAGTTGTTATATATCTGCAAAAACTCCAATATCATGCATCCCCAATACTGACTCTTTCAAATGGGTCCTTTTGTATTTCCTGTTGTGTTGTTTGTTAATGCAGTACTTGACAGGAAGTAAACAGGGACCAAAGCCTTTGCCTTAGCAACATAATAGCAATGAGACAGTGTATTATCTATGTATATATGTATTATCTATGGACGTGTAGACAAGGCAGGTATTTATACATGTTTTACGCCTTTCTCTTTTCATATCTTGCATGTGTCGCTGTCAGGTGGAGACCAGGGCCTGCTGAACTCTTTCTTCAGCAGCTGGCCGGTGGAGGACATCAGCAAACACCTGCCATTTGTCTACAACCTCAGTGCCAGCACCGTCTACAGCTACCTCCCTGCTTTCCTACAGTGAGTGTGTCTGCACTGTGTGTGTCTGTCTGTTTACACATGTCTGTATTTGGGGAGTACAGTTGCCTCATGTCCAGGCTGACGCCAGACGTGAATTGTGTTTGCTCTAGCCAGGATCGAAAGTTGTTACTCTGTTTTCTCCGTCAGTCAGTCAAAGATTAATTTGGCTTCATGTAACTTAGGTTTAATTTTTGTAGTTGGCCCATTGCTTATGTAACAACACTGTGCTTACCAGTACCTGCAAATTTTCTTCCATCAATGGAATGACTATATCTCTACAAAAAAGACATAAGTTACATTATAATTATTTATTGGATCAAACATTTTTGCCTCGAGGCTTTTTAGTAATTGAATTATTCGAGGAATCATTTCAGCCCGAACACAAACCTCCAGCCTCTCTTCATAAACGGCGCTCTTGGTGTAATGAAAAAGGCTCAAGGGATGGCAATGCAGTTTGGTTTCAACCCTTTGTGGAACAAAGAGTGCCAGAGTGGACCCAAAAAATAAAGAAAATGGTTCATCAAGCTTCATTTGGCCATCACTAGTTGAAACCAAACTGCATTGCCATCCCTTGAGCCTTTGTCATTACACCAAGAGCGCCATCTAGTGGGTTCAGCAAATACAACTGGTGTTTCATGAAGCTTCATTTGGACATCACTAGACAATGCACATCCTGGCCACCACCTGTTCGAACGGTTACCCTCTGGTAGGTGATATAGGTCCATCAAATCCAGAACCACCAGATTCACAAGTAGCTTGTTAGTAAAGGCATTCATTCCTTTAGTAGTACCCTCAGGATAAAGGTAGATAGAATTTGTATGGGGCACTTAAAATTCACCCCTCACACAGATGTCATGAAAGTACTTATAGAAACCACAACTGATTTTGGTACCAGGCTGTAAACATGTTTATTTCTGCTGTAAAGTTGGACAGTTTAACATGGGGGTCAATGGGGATTGACTGGCTTCTGCTGGAGTTACAGTTTTGTTCCTGCAGGTTTGGCCACAATGCAAAGATCGTTCATTTCTCAGGAGCAGAGAAACCCTGGAGCTCCAGCAGTCAGAGGGGCGACAGCAGTTCACACACCATGGAGCGGTTTGTGTCTCTGTGGTGGAAGGAATACCACAGTAACACAATAGCGCCTGCACCAGAGAAACCACAACAGGTACAGCATCTCTGTGATCTGAAATCTTTATTTTTTCTCTCCGATTGGTTGGACAGTTGGCCATTTCATAGGATGGAGTAGGTTTCACAGTTAACATGCTCCAACAGTCTGAATGAACGTGTGTGAAGAAAAGAAAAGTCTGTTCATTATCTGCACTTTGCTCATTTGCTCATGTGGCATGGATGAGAAAGAGATAATGAACAGACTCACACAGGTTAACTAAAGCTAAATCATTAATAATGACTTTTATTGTTGTAAGTATTATTTTGCTGCAACCCTGTCTCCTAGAAATTCCTTATGTATTTTATTGAATTATATTCATAATTATGTTGTGGTGACAACATAATTGCTGCCTGGATTGTGCTCAGAGACATACACTACATTTATGTGCCATGCTGCATTCACAGGGAGGTAGTCGGTGGATGGTGGACTGTGGATCCAGAACCTCAGGTTCATGTCCACCCTGCTGTTTGTGGTTAGGTTCAGGCAACAATGCACATGGGGTTAAAGGGTTAGGGAAAGGCCTTGAGTTCAGTTAAATGGTAATAAAAAAGTTAATCACAAAAATATAATGCTGTTGTCCCTGACCTTGAATAGTGTACTGCGAGATTGCAATTGTGTTCACATTTTGGCAAATAGATTCGAGCTTGTTTTTCCCTCTTGCTGTGAGGCGACAATGCTAACCACTGCACCACCGTGCTGCCACTAATTAAATTCCAAATTAATTAATTAAAATAAATATTGCAATTACTCCAAAACTGACCAACTCATTACGTTATTTTTTTATTCATTCTTATAAAAACTTTTGATGATAATGAATGTTACAAAAACCTTCATTATCATCAAAAACAATTACAAAAACTTCATTCTCATTTAAAGCAATTACAAAAGCTTCATTCTCATTTAAAGCAATTACAAAAACTTCATTTTCATTAGAAACTATTACAAAAAGCTTCATTCTCATTAAAAACATTTACAAAATGCTTAATTCTCCTTAGAAACTATTACAAAAAGCTTCATTCTCATTTAAAACAATTACAAAAAGCTTCGTTCTCATTAGAAACTATTACAAAAAGCTTCATTCTCATTAAAAACAATTACAAAAAGCTTCATTCCCCTTAGAAACTATTACAAAAAGCTTCATTCTCATTAAAAACAATTACAAAAAGCTTCATTCCCATTAGAAACAATTACAAAAAGCTTCATTCTCATGCAAAACAATTACAAAAAGTTTTGTTCTCATTAGAAACTATTACAAAAGCTTTATTCTTGTTAGAAAGTATTACGAAAAGCTTCATTCTCATGAAAAACAATTATAAAAAGTTTCATTCTCATTCAAAACTATAACAAAAAGCTTCATTCTCATTAAACACCATTAAAAAAAGCTTCATTCTCATTAAAAACAATTATAAAAAGCTTCATTCTCATTAGAAACTATTACAAAAAGCTTTATTCTTATTAGAAAGTATTACAAAAAGCTTCATTCTCATTAAAAACAATTATAAAAAGCTTCATTCTCATTCAAAACTATAACAAAAAGCTTCATTCTCATTAAAAACAATTATAAAAAGCTTCATTCTTATTAGAAACCATTACAAAAAGCTTTATTCTTATTAGAAAGTATTACAAAAAGCTTCATTCTCGTTAGAAACTATTACAAAAAGCTTCATTCTCATTTAAAACAATTACAAAAAGCTTCATTCTCATTAAAAACAATTATAAAAAGCTTCGTTCTCAGTAGAAACTATTACAAAAAGCTTCATTCTTATTAAAAACAATTACAAAAAGCTTCATTCCCCTTAGAAACTATTACAAAAAGCTTCATTCTCATTAACAACAATTACAAAAAGCTTAATTCCCATTAGAAACAATTACAAAAAGCTTCATTCTCATGAAAAACAATTACAAAAAGCTTTGTTCTCATTAGAAACTATTACAAAAGCTTTATTCTTATTAGAAAGTATTACAAAAAGCTTCATTCTCATTCAAAACTATAACAAAAAGCTTCATTCTCATTAAACACCATTCAAAAAAAGCTTCATTCTCATTAAAAACAATTATAAAAAGCTTCATTCTCATTCAAAACTATAACAAAAAGCTTCATTCTCATTAAAAACCATTAAAAAAAGCTTTATTCTCATTAAACACCATTAAAAAAAAGCTTCATTCTCATTAAACACCATTAAAAAAAAGCTTCATTCTCATTAAAAACAATCATAAAAAGCTTCATTCTTATTAGAAACTATTACAAAAAGCTTTATTCTTATTAGAAAGTATTACAAAAAGCTTCATTATCATTCAAAACTATAACAAAAAGCTTCGTTCTCATTAGAAACGTTTCTAATGAGAATGAAGCTTTTTATAATTGTTTTTAATGAGAATTAAAACAACAAACTTACAGCTTACAAAAAGCTTCATTCTCATTAGAAACTATTCCAAAAAGCTTTATTCTTATTAGAAAGTATTACAAAAAGCTTCATTCTCATTCAAAACTATAACAAAAAGCTTCATTCTCATTAAACGCCATTAAAAAAAAGCTTCATTCTCATTAAAAACAATTATAAAAAGCTTCATTCTCATCAAAAACGGTTACAAAAAGCTTCATTTTTTTTTATTAAAAACTATTCCAAACAGCTTCATTCTTATTGAAAACTATTCCAAAAAAGCTTCATTCTCATTGAAAACTATTATAAAAAGCTTCATTTGCATCAAAAATAATTATAAAAGTTTCATTCTCATCAAAAACAATTACAAAAAGCTTAATTTGCATCAAAAACTATTCCAAAAAACTTCATTCTCGTTGAAAACTGTTACAAAAAGCTGTCTCCAGCTGCTTAAATGCTATTTGTGTGATTGGGGCCTTAGGGCATGTTTAAACACGGTAAATGATATTATTAATGACATATAATTACATTATACCTACATTAGGAAAAGACAAAAAACAACCTCTGTGCTCTCAGCTCAACCCATAAAATAAGGTGTCACCAGTCATCCCACTGTAATTGTCTGACAGTAACTGGTGAATCCTTTACAATGGCTCTGATTATAAATGTAGTGTTCAGCAGTGCCACTCAGGGTTGTCGTGCAGGAAGTCAACCATGTGCCGTGTTTGGCGGATGCTCTGAAGGTTTTCACTCCAAACACTTGAGCAGAACATTTCACTGATGACTTCCCCCCTCTTTAGTTGAAGGTTTGCTAATCAGTCACATAAGCTGCTGCAGACTTTGGCTGCAACATAAACATGCAGAGCAGCAGCCAAACGCGACACATGGCTGCCCAGCCCTGGTATTGGTCGGCGTCCCAACACTCAACATCTCTCCCTTGTTTTGCAGATCCAAGAACGAGAAGCCAAGATACCATTTAGAGAAAACTTGGACAGTTCCAACTCACTGCTTGCACATTTTTCACCCCCTTCTGAGACGCTCCATTCACCGCCTGAACCAGAGACAGTAAGCTGAGATGTCAACAAACTGATCTGTTTTATGCTGTGTCCTTGTTGGATATTATGTTGTTTTGGATACGATATCTTTATATTTGAAACCGTGAGTCCAGAGTTATAATCCTTAAAGCTGCAATTAACACTGACTCAGATGCCAAGGTGTTCATGAAGCTTCATTTGGACATCACCTATCAATTCCACGTTCTAATGACAGTAATGGTAATGTGTTTAATCTCTGAGCACCCAGTGCAAAGGTATGTGCGGGGTGTGTTAGCCTAGCTTAGCACAAAGACTGGAAGCAGGTGGAAACTGCTAGCTCCGTCAAAATGATTGAAAACCTCCTTCAAAGAACTCTCTTGAACAAATAGTCCATTTAAAGTCGCACATATTGTGTGCAGCCGAGTAAGTAGTCATTAGAAATATTAACCAATCAATCCATTAATTAGCTTAATGAATCACCATATTAGCATAGCCACTTGTGTTTATAATACATCACGGTGATTATTATAGTGGGTTATTAGGCAGCTCAAGTGCCTCTTGTTAGTTCCAGTAGATGAGACTGGTAATTTATGAGCATTTCTGCTTGACTGCTTTTGACTCCAGCAGAAAAAAAAGAAGGAGTCAGGGACACAGAGGCTATTATCTGCCACAGGCCCACTCATTGCATTGCTGTCATTTGTTTAATTCATTCCAACGTGATGCATTGTGTTTAAACAAGCTTGTACGATTAGCGCGAACAGGTCCACGCCCTGTGTTACAACAACAGCCACAAACATACATCAACGGTGTTATCAAGCGCTGTGCAGTGAGAATGAAGCAGAACCGAGTTGTATTTAAACCTGACGATGTATGATTTCACGTTTTTAGATGTTGCTACGAAAATACTGTAAGTGACATGACTGTGGTGTCTTCAGTGTCCCGATACAGATCACACACCGCTGAAGGAAGAGTCGAGAACATCTGAGGAGACAGAGATCCAGGATACAGCTTCTGAAGCAGATGGGTTTGAGGACAGCGCTTGTGCCCCGGACACTGATACACAACCTGTACTTAAACCTTTCCTTTCTCACCTCTTTTCCAAGATGCATCCCCTTACGTTGTCATACAATGTACTGCTGTCGATGGGGGTCAGCCACCGCAAAAAGTCCCACCTAAAAAAAAATCAATTTTGGTTTCAGGGTAGGGTACATCGAGAGTATTTTCAATACTTTACCTTTGCATCAGGCAGCCCTTCCAATCAGGAAACAAACCAGAGTCACGACGGTCTAAACACAGCTCACGTTCCCTGTTAGTGGGTGAACAATCCAACGCCGACATTGAAGGATCAAAAAGCGACGTGCTCAAAACCCCAAAGTCAGAAGCTTAAGTTCAGTTAAATGGTAATAAAAAAGTTAATCAAAAAAATATAATGCTGTTGTCCCCAATTTTGAATAGTGTACTGTGAGATTCTGTTCACATTTTGGCAAATAGAATTGAGCTTGGTTTTCCCTCTTGCTGTGATGCAACAATGCTAACCACTGCACCACTCATGATATTTCTGTAATAATATTACAATTACTCCAAAACCAAACAACCTGTTACAACTTTACTTTTTATTCATTCTTATAAAAACGATTACAAAAAGCTTAATTTGCATTAACAGCTGTTACAGAAAGCTTCATTCGCATTAAAAACAATTACAAAAAGCTTAATTTGCATTAAAAGCAATGACAAAAAGCTTAATTTGTATTAAAAACAATGACAAAAAGTGTCATTCTCATTATAAACAATGACAAAAAGCTTCATTCTCATTAAAAACATTTACAAAAACCTTCATTCGCATTAAAAACGATTACAAAAAGTTTCATTCTCATTAAAAACTGTTAGAAAAAGCTTCATTCTCATTAAAAACAATTACAAAAAGCTTCACTTGCATTAACAACTGTTACAAAAAGCTTCATTTTTATCTAAAACAATTACAAAAACCTTCATTTGCATCAAAAACAATTACAAAAAGCTTCATTTGTGTCAAAAACGATTACAAAAAGCTTCATTTGTGTCAAAAACGATTACAAAAAGCTTCATTTACGTCAACAATGATTACAAAAAGCTTGACTTGCATTAACAACTGTTACAGAAAGCTTCATTCGCATTAAAAACAATTACAAAAAGCTTCATTTGCATCAAAAATGATTACAAAAAGCTTCATTTGTGTCAAAAATGATTACAAAAAGCTTCATTTACGTCAACAATGATTACAAAAAGCTTGACTTGCATTAACAACTGTTACAGAAAGCTTCATTTGCATTAAAAACTGTTACAAAAAGCTTCATTCTCATTAAAAACTGTTACAAAAAGCTTCATTCTCATTAAAAAACGATTACAAAAAGCTTCAACCCAGCTCACGTTCCCTGTTAGTGGGTGAACAATCCAACGCTCAAAACCCCAAAGTCAGAAGGATCGGCTTCCCATCTAAGCTCTCCTCAAAGCCACCACACTCCATTGACAAAACAGTAATTTTAGCTTGCCGAACACAGGAGCTGCTGGTCTACCACTGCTTCAATCACTTACTTGGTTTGTGTTATTGTGTGACTTTGGTGACTCCAAACCCCAAAGTCACGCAGCAACCCCCACTAGCTAAGCTGATCTAGGCAGTGGTAGACCAGCAGCTCCTGTGTTCAGCTGTGTTAAATCGCTGTTTTTCTCAATGGAGTCTGGCTGTGAAGAGAGAGACATAACAGCTTCATTTTCTGGTTAAAAAAACTGGTTAACTACAACTCCCAGGTTGCATTTTGATGTAAAAGTTCTAATTCCAGGACAAAATATTCTAGTAGTACTCAACAATGAAAGAGTAATGACTCTGATTTTCTATTTCTCATGCTGTTTGTGCTTAAAGATGAAACTACAACTCCCACTCAGCCTGAATAGAGTCTGATGTTTCTTGTGATAAACTGCATTTGAAGACTGATTTGTTATTCTCCCTCTTCATCATCATGGCAGAGGGCAGCAGACCTAGAGGCGGAGCGGCAGGAGCATCGCAGGCAGTGGGAGGCTGGGCAGGTGGACTACCTGGGCCGAGATGCCTTCCACAACATTCAGAGGATGCTGGACCGCTTTCTGGAATAATCACACACAGGAAGTTTAATCTGGACCCAGTGGTAACAACAGCCTAATTTCGGGATTTGACTGTTATGCATTTGTGTCTGTTTACAGACAGACAAAAAGACAGATTGTTTTACTTTAGAGTCCCTACTTCTGACACCTAGTGGTAGTATCAAGGCACTGGGACTGACAGTGATGTACACCGTTCCACACCACCCTCATGGGGACACTGAGACTGTGCTGGTGACTGAAACCGACATTTTTCTACAAACAATAAAAACCTATCCACCTTATTCCTGAAGACGCTACTGTAGAAATGATTATGGGTGCAGCTTCTGGTGACATAGAGGATGTTGCAGTAAGGTAGCTCGTCACATCGACTGTCTATGGTCGACCAAGTGGCTAATCTTGGTGGCTAACCACCAACGGCGGCTCTGTTTCGAAGGTACCTGCTCTGCTACCTGTTATGCTAACCAGGTCTCACTCTGAAGCCGCTGAAATCCAGTGCTTGGTCAGTGACTCCCGGCGTCAGAAAAAGCCGTCCTTTTACATCGGCATGATACATGGCTAGTTGTCGTTATTGTTTACCGGCACCTGGCAGTGTCAGGGTGAAACATGGCGGGAACACAATGGAAGTTAAGGCGGTGGAAGTCTGAGTAGGGCGGGAGGGGGCTGGTGTTTGCTTCCTGTAAGATTTTAAAGCCTGTACTGAAAAATAAAATAAACTGTTCCTTACTGACTCAACAAAAGACGTGATTTGTACCATATTTTCGTACGCAGCCCTCTGATAATACTGATTTATATTAAATGTGTTACTGTCTGTTTATGAGTCGTAAGAAATCACAAATCATGGTGTGTTCCACGTGTTTTATTTTCCAGTCACTCTAGGAAATCCCGAGAACAAGCTGATTGGAAAACGCTGGTTACGGTCCAGCAGTGGAAGTTGCGCCCATAAGTCACATAAGGTAACATGGGGGTGAGGAATAGGGTGGATGAGACCAAATAATTTGAAAGATGATAAAACCACAGAAACATCTGACACATCTGGCTTTAACTCTCATATTTTGTGAAACTGTCAATAAAGTATACGTTGAATATGAACCACGTTAGCGTTAAAGCAAACACAAGTGCTCCAGGTAAATGCTTGTCTTGTCTTCACATTGGCTCCATGGCAGGATTTCTACCATCCACTTTTATTGTTCATGTACTGATAAGAGTTACCGTCTGTTAATTCTAGTAATTCCAAACTGATGGTCACTTCCGTTGCATAAATCTGAAGCAGGAGCAAACAGTCATCATCTCAATCAGTCAGTCAATTGTCAGTCTAAGTCACCGCATCTCAGTGCGTCATGCCACACCACAAAAACTGTTCAGGAATGACCCGAGGAACGAGACAAAGAGCTCAAGACCTGGCCTCCAAATTCCCCAGATCCTACTCTGATCGAACATCTGTGGGACGTGCTGGTACCCCACCACACATCTTACAGGACTCAGAGGATCTGAAGCTAGTGCCCTGGACACCAAAGAACACCCTCCAGAAGTCCTGTGTCCATGCCTTGGCAGGTCAGAGCCAAGTCTGGTCCAAGGAGTACCCACCGTGTATCGGGGGTACCTCTGGGGTATGTGCACGTCCCTCAAATGTTCTGGGGATCTGGGGTATTTTGAAGCAAAGTCGACACCTTGAGCTCTTTGTCCCATTCCTCGTGGTTGCAATGGTGTTTAGGTGAGTGGAACATGTCAGGTGGTATCCACACGAAGATTTCCAAGCAGAACATTGCACTGTAACAAGACGATCAAGGTTATTCACCTCACCTGTCAGTGGTTTCGATGTTTTGGCTGATCCTTGTGTATTTCTGACTCTGACGTCCACTCACAAAGTGGCGATTTTTAACGAGTTGGGTTGTTGCCCACTGCCTCCGAATCCACTGCCACTCAGTGTGTATCATGCCACCACAAAGGGTGCCTCCATGCGTCTGTGTCTGACGCTGATATCACCGACAATGCAGCAATGACTATCAAACTCTGACTCTCTGTTACATTGCTTCTTTTTCCTCTGTATGCTGTAGTATACTGTCATATTTAAGCTGTGGAATATCTAACATTTTGTGCTCTGCAGTAATAAATAGTGCATGATAACACTAATATGGAAGATACAAGTCCCAGGTTTCCTGATTATTTCCCAGAAAGTAACTGATGTGTAACCGTGTATCCATGTTGACAGTTAAACATGTAAAATTTTCTTTTTGTTTTTCCTTTTTTGTGTGTGTGTTTTCACATATTCAAGTTCACATGGATAAACAGAACCCTCAAATAAACAGACTTGTGCATTTCCTCTTCTTGACATGATGTTGACTCCTCCACCAGGGGGCACTGTGGCTCTTCTAACAGAACTCCCTCCATCATAGCAGCAAATCAGAGAATCAGGAACACAGATTAATAGATGTCTGACTGCAGTCAACACTATGCTGTGTGATCCTTATCCACCGGGCACACAGCTCATGTAATTTTCATAGGCTTTCCTCCCATAATGTTGTGACACAGCGAAGGAAGATAGTGTGCTGCATACAAAGCAAATGGCGGGAGGTGAGCTCGGGCCGGGGCTGTGCTTTCAGTGAAAAGGCCTTATGATGATTGCTTTGAAAGGCAACCTGGCACATCGCTGCTCTCAGATGACTGGCTCCCGCTTGACTCAGATTCATCAAGATTAAAGTGCGCGCACCGATCTGGGATAAGTTTTTGGTTTTCGCTTGACCGCCTCATTCATTAGAATCAGAGATCAGTCCCCGCAGATGCTTCGCCTTTACCCCCACCTTAACTAACAGAGGGAACAGTAATGTCTTCATTTGGGGCTCCAACAATCTGCAGGTTTTATCCAGCAAACAAACAGCTGAGTTGGCTCTCAGGTTGAATGTGTATAAATCTGTGAAATCACTCCCTGAAATGATTAGCCGGCAGACTGGAGTCTAATCCTGCATTTGTGTGGTGTGTGTGATGTAGCATAAATATGAACCGTCATTCATGTCGGCCTCCTGGTGGTAATTACGACTTGGGACTGACGAAGTGCGTCAACACATGCGGCAAACACTGATATTGATGAACAAATGTGACAGGCCACAATAATCAGAAGCATATATGATCATGAAGCAGTTGGGAATGTCAAGTAAAGTCTGCTGCGGTCTGTTTGTGGTCCAGCAAATAAAACTGGTTTTGGATGTGGGTCACTTCCTGGCAGATGTGTCCATGTGGGCCTCCAACTTCATCTCAACCACTGGGCCAATAATGAGTAGCCTTTAGGAAACTTATTTCATCTAAGGGTTAGATTAGTTACGACATATGCATAATAACCGAATGTATATGCTTTAGTATTGCAGTTCCATATCAACAATGGACGTGTCAGAGAGATTTAAAAACAAAAAAGTGGTCCAAATTGAAGCAGCAGAGACAAAGATGACCTTTTAAACAAATGTTCAGCTCCAAAAATTCTGTATCCTACATTTCCCATAATTCAACTTATTTAATTGGACCCTCTCTTCCTGGTGAACACCCATTTTCCGAACATCAAACCCCCTCCCGTTTATATTGCAGACCTTCTGTTATATACCTATAGTTTCCATGCTCAAACTGATGACATCACAATGACATCATCTGGGTTATTCTTTCAGATTCACAAATGACATAACATGACCCTTTTCTAGTGACTTCCAAATGAAGCTTCTTGAACCACCAGTTGTATTTGCTGAACCCACTAGATGGCGCTCTTGGTGTAATGAAAAAGGCTCAAGGGACGGCAATGCAGTTTGGTTTCAACTAGTGATGGCCAAATGAAGCTTCATGAACCATTTTCTTTATTTTTTGACTTCCTGTACTGACTGAAGGCTGCCGGAAACTGTCGGGAAACTCTTGCTGCTAGTGATGTCCAAATGAATCTTCATGAAGAATTGTCTTTATTTTTTGGGTCCACTCTGGCATTGCCATCCCTTGAGCCTTTTTCATTACACCAAGAGCGCCATCTAGTGGGTTCGGCAAATACAACTGGAGGTTCATGAAGCTTCATTTGGCCATCACTACAGTGACTTGTAAGCTGGTCTAGACGTGTAAAACTGGCGGAGTGACCTTCTAGCAAACCCTCTGTGACTCTCCCTCAGCATTTTGTCCTTAAGAAGAAATCTTCCATTACCTTAAAAACTCACCTACACATCTACCCTTCAGTGGAACATCCGAAATGATTAGCTTTGCTCGTGGGCAGGTTTGAGTTTCATCCCTCACCCTGCAGCTCCGATGATATACAGTGCTAAGAATTACCAACTGCTGAGGGGAAGTAAAAGAGGGCATGCTAAATAATTATTGAACTGCACCATGAGTCACAACCAAGCAAAGGAAAATGATATTGTAAAGCCATATGTTTTTGTCATTAAAAGAAGCGTTCTCAATGAAATGGAGGCTAATGGAAAAGCCTGCAGGGCCACTTCTTTAATATGGCTATCTAGGAAAGCTAATTATCCAGCATGCTAACATATATAGTATTCACAGCAGCTGATCAAAGCACAGTTCAGTTCAGGTCAGGTCTGACCCATTCATGCGTTCACATACAGTGGTTACCACTTTGTATTTAAATCCCCTGCTTATTTAATACTATTAATAATAGTTTGATGTCACAGAACCATTAAACAGCCTCGACCTTTTAAAATAAATGCATAGCCGTGGACTCAGGGAGGGCCAGGCAGAGGATCAAAGTCTGATAATTATAAGGTAAAGATGTGTGGGCCTATGGTATGAAACACAAAACAAATATTGAGGTTAGCACGACAAACGTAATAGTGTGCAATTAAGTCACCTAGAACAGTAGCGGGGACAGTGCGTCACCTTGGTAGATGCCAAACTCAGTGAGTTCTTGATGAAGGCCTTTTGATGGTGTACACTTCCAAGCATTCCAGTATCCACATGTGTGGCACTGAGTCTTAGGCTTTCTTGTAGTCAATCCAGGCGGTGCACAGGTTGGTCTACCTTCCTTCAAAGGTTTGTCTTGTTCCACTGTGGATTATGGCATAACTTTGTTAATGCTGAATGAGGGCGGTGTCACAGCCCTCTTACCTTCCTGCTTGGGCTGTCCTTTCCCTTTAAGGAGACAAGCAGGGAACACTTCACTGATGAACTCATATCAGGTGTGCTGCTGCTCCTCAGCTACATAACATGCAGCTAACGTTTTGTTTTCAGCAGACTCTACTCACTGAAGTTGAACTCGACAATCAATGGCAATTTCCACCTCAAGAGCAACTTCCCTGCAAAGAAAAGTGAGTTTGTTTTGATGTAATCTCCCAATGCATACCTTCAGCCTCACTTACGTAACCAGCACTGACCCCACACTGACCCCAGTAAGAATCTCACCACACTGAGCTGGTCTATTTGGTTAGACAGTGTGTTTGCTTCTGAGAAATGCCACCTCTGTGTAGTGCGTCACTGCAGACCTCAAGGAGGATGAAGCTCAACTATTCTTGGGTCAATAACCAGTAGCTCCGAGCTGTTTGGTTCAGATCGGTGAAGCACCTGGGTTCTATTCCCCGTCTCTCCCCCTTCACTTGTTTCTTCTTTATTTTCCACAAAGGTGTCTTCCCCTTTCCCACATCTTTTAGTGTGTTTAGATAAACAAATAGTCCTGATAATGTCCCCATCTGGAACTCCTCTGTGGCTTTATGAGTACACTAGCTTTCTGCTTGATGGAGTGCTTGTGATTCGGGGATGATTGTGGTGTGTGTGGGAGAGCAAAGAGGAAAGGAGAGAATGAGTGTGTGTGTGTGCAGGTGTAGGCTTCACATCCATGCCAGTCAGCCCCAGCTGTTATTTAAGCCGTGTTGTGATTGCCTTCAGATACACACGCAGTGTGGATGAGGAAGAAATGTGAACTGTCAGAGAATCCTAAGCACCTCCATATGTTTCTGGGTTAACAGCTCTGAACAGCTCCTCATGTGTGGGAGTCATCAGATGACTATTTTGAGTCATGCTCAAAGGCCCTCAGCTAATTTGATCAGCGGTTCAACCGGCGGCTTCGGATTCTAATGAACCGCAATTTCTGCGATCGGGCTAATTGGGGATTGCAAGAGTAATGACAGTCAGCTGTGGAGGTCTGCTGCTGCTTCAAGGCTCCTGATGGGGCGGAGCAGCCGGGTGGAGTTCATCCTTGCAGTGACAGTCTGCTGATTGAAACTGGGCCACAAACCAAACCAGTTTCCCACAATTAGACAAGTAAGCACTCTGCTATCTAGTGGACAGATGCATCTTCATGAACATTCCAGGTCAATTTGTCGCCTCTTGATTTGCTGGATACATTTTTCAGAGAGCTCATAAAGCAGGGTTTCACAGTTGGTGTTTCTGCTATTGGGGTCCAGAACTTGTAAAACCGATATCGATTCTGTGAACCTCATTCATCCACATGTGGGTCAACGGACATGTTCACATCTGTCCGTAGACTTAGGCACTAATTCCCAGAGTAGGGGATGATCCAAAGGTCCAAAGTTTACTGCACAGCTGCGGGAACCTTATCGAATCTTTTGGAAAGTTTCTGTTATACAGTTGAAACAAAGCAGCGGCTGAAATACAGGTAAACTATACGACAGTTCTAAGGCTCTGATAGACATCTTTCTACAGATGTGATCAGGAAAGGTTCTTAAAAAACATGAAACCATAAAGCGCCATCAAAAATCATGAATAAATGATAATGTTCCTCTCATAATCAGAGCACTAGAGCTGAGGTAATCCTTGGCCAGCATTGCTTGAAATACATTATAACTAGACACTAGTGATGTCCAAATGAAGCTTCATGAACCTCCAGTTGTATTTGCTGAACCCACTAGATGGCTCTCTTGGTGTAAAGGCTCAAGGGATGGCAATGCAGTTTGGTTTCAACCCTTTGTTGAACACAAAGTGCCAGAGTGGACCCAAAGAACCCAAAGAATGAAGAAAATGTCTCATGAAGCTTCATTTGGCCGTCACTAGAACCAGGAGTTTCCCTATAGCTTCCAGCAGCCTTCCGTCTGTACAGGAAGTCAAAAAATAAAGAAAATGGTTCATCAAGCTTCATTTGGCCATTGCTAGTTGAAACCAAACTGCTTTGCCATCCCTTAAGCCTTTTTCATTACACCAAGATCGCCATCTAGTGGGTTCAGCAAATACAACTGTTGGTTCACAAAGCTTCATTTGGCCATCACTAGAAGAGGGTCATATTATGTCGTTTGTGAATCTGAAAGAATAACCCAGATGATGTCATTGTAATGTCATCAGTTTGAGCATGGAAACTATCCAATTAAAGAAGTTGAATTATGGGAAATGTAGGATCCA